TTTAACCCAAAAAAATAGTCGTTTTATTCCATTATTAACGCATCAAGTTTAAGCCCAGAAGAATTTGGGCCAAAAAATCAGGTCTCATCTAAGGTCCAGCAATCAAGAATAGAATAGTAGATTAATTCCACCGAACAGCCCGTCAAATCGCAAAGCCCAGGATTTCAAATTTCGCGGAAAATACCAAACTCTACCCTTATCTAATTCTTCAACCTCCCAACTATCAGTCAGCTTCGTTCTGCTTCTTTCCTTCCTTAATTTCTGTGTCTTCGATTCACTTCCTCGTCTGGATCCTTCGAGAAATCGAGATGTCCTGCTTGGCGTCGTGCTGCGCATCGTTGACGTGCGGTTTGTGCTCATCGGTGGCATCTGGGATTTCCAAGAAATCGGCGAGGCTCGCTTACTGTGGCCTCTTTGGTCTCTCCCTCATTGTCTCTTGGATTCTCAGAGAAGTCGCGGCCCCTCTCTTGGAGAAACTCCCATGTAACCTCTCTTGCCTCTTTCTTCTCTGTCTTTTCATGGAAAATTTCCATCTGGGTGTCCTTAATTTTGATTCTTTTCGCTGCTGTGGTGATAGATTGTGGACAATAAAGAACATTCTTGATGCTTTTATGGAATTGGGTATACGAATTTGATGTATACAGTACTTATAATTCTGGGTATCGTGTAATAATTGATGATTTTTAAGTTTACTGAATGTTTGAGTTGCATTCCTATGGCGAAATGAAAAAGAAAGAGTAACTTGATTAAGGGATAAATTTTTGTACCTTTAATAGTTTGGTTCTGTTAATTTTTTTGGTTGATAGGGATAAATACTTCTACTCACACAGAGGAATGGTTCAAAGAGCAAGCAGTACTTCGTGTAAGCTTGGGGAATTTCTTGTTTTTTGCAATACTTGCACTTATAATGATTGGTGTTAAGGACCAAAATGACCGACGCGATTCATGGCATCATGGTGGATGGATTGCAAAGATGGTGATCTGGCTTTTGCTTGTCATCCTTATGTTCTTCCTTCCAAATGTTGTCATCTCAATTTATGGTTAGCTTTTGCTTCTGAACTTGGAAAATCAATTTAAAAGTAAAGTTGCATCATCATTTATGTTGATGGTAGATAAGATCATGGACTATGTTTACTCAAAATGTCGGCTTTGACATTACATCTGGGTTTCTATATAAGTTTATACATACTGCTAAGGATATGATGTAAGGGTCATTATTGTTGATTTGAGAACTTCACTTTCAGGGACTTTATCAAAATTTGGTGCTGGGCTATTTTTATTGGTTCAAGTGATTATATTACTAGACTTTGTACATTCATGGAATGATGCATGGGTTGAAAAAGATGAACAGAAATGGTTAGCTCAAATTCCAAATGATGATCTTTTCCCTTCATTGGTTTTGTTTGATTTCTAACTCTATGTTTCATACCTTTAGGTATATTGCCCTACTTGTTATATCAGTCATTTGTTACATTGCGGCATATGTATTCTCCGGAATTCTCTTCATGTGGTTCAATCCTTCTGGTCACGACTGCGGCCTCAATGTGTTCTTTATTGTCATGACAATGGTTCTTGCATTTGCTTTTGCAATTATAGCATTGCACCCTGCGGTATGGACAAGTGCTTTATTTTGTGATACTTTTTTTGCCTTCAATTGAGTTCCCATAAGCAGCGTGTTTGAATTAAATGGACACTGAATATTTGAAAAGAATTAAAAATAATAGATTGCAGACGTGGATCTAATGTTGGAGATTAAATATCAGAATAATATTGAGATGGTATATCAATGGTATCAATGACTGCAATATGTAACTGGATGGATGCTTCTCCTGCCATGTGCTAATTTTCCTGCTGTTTTAGGACTTTGTCTTGTTTTTTTCATGTAACTAAGCATTTTTGGTGCCCATTTTCTTCATTATGCATGCTCTGGGAATATGCATTAGTAGGTGTCTGGCATGTTCCCTGTGTAGGTAATCATGCTCCTAGGTATGGTACATGCTGCATTGAGCTAAATCTTGAGTTTTGATGGACTTGAGACTTCATAGGCTTTGAACTGTATTGTATGGGTGTCATAGAATAAATGGAGATGAATTAGATTTTGATATGGGAATTTTACACAGGTAAACGGCAGTCTTTTGCCCGCTGCTGTGATATCAATTTACTGTGCCTATGTGTGCTACACTGGTCTCTCCAGTGAACCTCGGAACTATTCATGCAATGGTCTTAAAAAATCCAAAGCAAGTTCTATCAGTACTCTTGTTCTTGGGATGCTCACAACAGTTCTGTCAGTTCTTTATTCAGCTCTTCGTGCTGGATCATCAACCACATTTTTATCGCCACCATCTTCGCCGAAAGCAGGTACTTTAACATTGTTGCAGTTCTCAACATTTTTATAGAAATCTCAAACCCATTTACTGATCAACCTCACAAGTGTATCGTTTGCAGACTCCTAATATCGTTAAACATATTTCCTAAAACGATGTGTAACTCCTCAAGATAGTATGTCTGTGGTCTTGGTCATTATTTGTAGGTGTTGACATTTTTTTGTATTCTTCCTTGGAGTAAAGGTTCATGCATCTACAACTAGAGGAGACTGGAAAATAGAGACTGAAATTCACTACCTTTTGAGATTTGAGTGTAGTTATATAGTTTGAGATGTCTGGTTTGGCAGATGGAAAGGAAGATGAACTAGTTAATTAATTTAGTGCGTTTGGTAGATCACCGTTGTTATTCCAAACTTATCAAGGTTTGTTTCTATGATTATCTTGGGTAAAATAAAAGACAGGTATTATTTACCAAAAACTAAAAGAGAGGTACCAACCAAACAGTTAAATTTATCATACATCTTGGAAATGAAATTCTTCACCAAAAAATCTTGAAAATGAAATTGTGTGACTTATAATGCACAAAACTAATTGTCCTTCATGGTAATATATGGGAATGATGGAGATGCTAGCCTGTTAGGTCCAGGGTCTAATAGGGTCAGTAAATAGTAACTTAAGGATAGTTGTCAGAGCACCAATTCAATAGGAAATTTACAAATACCCCAAGGATGTACTGGGAAGTAATCTTCTTTGCATTAGAACCATGCCTTTCACATATTTTCAAATGTAATATCTTTCAGTTAATTCATAGAAGGAGATTCTGTTATTGCTGACTAAATGCTAAAGCTTCTTCTGCAGCTGGAAATAAGAAACCACTTCTTGAGAAAGAGAAGGAAGATGTCGAAGAAGGTAAGGAAACTAAGAAGGAAGAAGAAGCACGGCCAGTTAGTTATTCTTATTCATTCTTCCACTTGATCTTTGCCTTGGCAAGCATGTACTCTGGCATGCTTCTGACCAGCTGGACCAGCTCATCTGAGAGCTCAGACTCCATAGATGTTGGTTGGACATCAGTTTGGGTCCGGATCTGCACCGAGTGGGCCACTGCTGCACTCTACATTTGGACCCTTGTCGCCCCTTTGATTTTCCCAGACCGTGAGTTCTTTTAGGTTTCATGTCAATAGTAGCATTTCAGTAAATAAATAGCCAAAAAAAAAAAAAAAAGGTGTATGCGGTTAAATTATTTGGTAAACCCCCATGTCCATCCCTTTTTCTCATCTTTCTCAGGCAGTTATGGTTAAGGGAGCGTGTTAGATCATCACGGATGTTGTTTTTTGTAACCTTAAACCATAAAACTACACATGATGATGCATCTAAAATTTCTGGCTGAACAACACTTGTTCATGTCCATGCCATGTGCCGTGTTGTGTTTTCGAGGTACAAAGTAACATTCTCATACAGAATATGATGCAGAAATTGGGAAAAGTGGAATGTTGAAATTGATATTTTTGCATCCATCTTCTCCCCCATTATAGAATGAATTATATTCATTTCAAAATTGGGTCATCCTGTTTGTTGAGTAGGACATCCATTCCCTCCTAGACTGGTCCAAAGTCACTGTTTACTTTGATTCTCGGCCGAAAGTGGTAGGGGGTGCTGGTTCAAACAGCAGGGGTGTCAATCAGGGTGGTCCTGAACATTTACACCCCTAAATGCGGAAAATTGAAGTCAGCATCAAATGTGTGATCCTAGTTAACATTGAACTCTTGAATTAGTGAAAAATGTTTATGTGCACATGATCATGACAGGTTTTATCTGCCAGGATTGTAAATGAGAACCTGGAGAATCAGTCAATTTCTTTGTCAAGAGATGATAGAGATGCAGGGAGGGGAAGAATATCTTTAACTTAATTAACACAATATAAGGCTTCCTCATACAAAAGTCTCTTGATGCTTTAATTTTTTTTTTTTTTAACAATTTGGCATTATTTACAGGTATATATGGGGAGGAGGGAAATGAGTTTCATGGGAATCGAACACGCTACCCACGAGGTGAATAACCCTAACCCAGCTTCAATACCATTGGGCCGGAATGGGCTATTCTTTTGTTTTTATTTTTTTATTACACTAAAAACGTATAAAATATTAATTAAAATAAATATTAATTCTATTTTATATATTTTTTAAAATATTAAAAGATTAAAAAACTAATTATTAGGAACAGTTCGTTCTGACTCAGTTATATTGGATATTCGGTTAAGATCATTTAACTTCTGTGAGTTATGTGTTTGAACATTACGAAATCTCTCTCCTTCTTTCTTCAATTAATATGTAAATAATTGTAATTTATTAAAAGAAAAAAAAAAAAAAACCATTAGAACCATATGCCAAGAGTCTCAAATTAA